CAGCAAAAAGGTTCAGGATGAAGGAAAAAAAAAAAAAAAAAAACGCAGCAGAACTCCTGGTCTGACTCAGTAGGGGAGGGATGGGGGGCTGCTTCAGAACCTCTTACTGAGTCATTCAGTCAGACAGAACCAGATGGAAGCAAAATGTAAATAATTAGAGAAATATAAAATTCTAATTATAATAAATTCATAATAGTTTCACATCTAAAAATCATATTTTATTCTTTTTATCCGATTTCCTGATTCAGCAACCTATTAAATTTCTGTTTTGTTAAGTTTTACAGCTTTAACCAAGTTTTATTAATGTATGAGAAATCCACATTTTTGGGTTTATTTTTTCCAGTCAAGTGTTTAATACAGCTGGCAAAATCAAATTGTGAAAATATTTATGATGTGCTTCTTTTTTTTAATTTAGCATTTTATTTAAAAAATCCTTCATTTTATGAAAAGACCCTCTTGATTCAATAGAAAACTCTGGTTTTTAAGAAAATGGCTGCTTATTAATTACCTGTTTGTCAATCTATAAGATAAATAAACTTCAGATTAAATGGTAAATGGAGTGAACTTACAGAGCACTTTATCAAGTCCCTCCGGACCCCAAAGTGCTTTTACACTTACAGACGTTCACACACTGATGATAGTAAACTACACTGTAGCCACAGCTGCCCTGGGGCACACTGACAGAGGTGAGATTAATTTATTAAATCGATAACTTGCATCCTTAATTTATACAGGAATTAAATTAATTAGTATCTACTCATATTTATTTAATTAAGTGTTTTAATGATTTGGTCGATTAATCAACTAATCAAAAATAATGGGCAGATTAATCGATTATTAAAATAATCGTTAGTTACAGCCCTAACCAGGTGGCATCACTGCAATTATTAAAATAGCAGGCTTTACATCAACTGCTTTACAAAGAAAAAACACCTTAATGTTTTTAAATCTTACTATTAAAAATATAAAAGATCATTACCAATTAACAGTTATTGTAAATAATAATAATAATAATAATAATAATAATAATAATAATAATAATAATAATAATAATAATAATAATAATAATGGCTTAAATTTCAAAATAAATATAGCTCAACTATTGTTTCTTATTTTAAAAGACTTTCACATCACAGAAAGAACATTTTCTCTGCTATTAACAAGAGCACAAGAGAATTTTCTCAACAACTTCATCAGGAATTATTTCACATTAAAATAGTTTGCTGAAATGTACCTTTAGTTCTCAAATTACCTGGAACTTTAAAGTCACATAAGTTGTTATCCAGGCTGATTCTATTCTAGAATAAAGCCTGACATATTGAGAGAGAGGTTTGTAAAACAAGTACGAGTTTTCTGTGTACTCCCATTTCCTCCCACATGTCGTATGTTCAAGTAAGCAAGCAACTGGAAATACACTGAAGCCAAAAACAAGCTCCTGGGTTTTACCTGTGTAATACTGCCACCTACAGCATCTTTGTGAAATAGTTAAAGTGCACATTTTTCCATTCACAAAACTAAAAAGGTTTAAAAAGACATTTTAAATCAGTGCTGTACATAAAGCCTTTTTCACTTATCAGTGTTTTACTTGCTGTCCTTTAGTTGAAGGTTAATTAAGTGGTTCATCAAATAAAGAGACGGACTACCACACTTCTAAAATAGGTTAAAACTATTCTGATGCTTGATATATTTATTCCTTAAATGTCAGTGAAATGTGCATTAGAGCTATTTTATCTGCTTGTTGAAAGCAAAACGTTGATTGTGTTTTTGCTTGTGTACTTTAGTAAAACTCTTATGCACTGCTGCATGGATTTTAATCAAAGTAATTAGTGTTGAACTACTTTCATGAACTTCTGGAGATCAACTCCATTCAAGATGGCCGCCACAGCTAACTGACCTCAGTCAATTTTACAGAGATTGAGCTCATTTTGTTGTGATGAGCCTCATCCACAACAAACACCATCTTGGAACATCTCATAATTAATATTATGAGATTTTGCACCATGGTGTGACAAAAACAGATATACTTCTCCTTTTTCAAAGCAAGCAGATCTTTGTCAAAACTCTGGCATGAAACTATGCCAAGACTTGCCTTTTTATTGCTTTTTTCCTAGTTCAAATTGTTCAAGATGACAAAATAATCCATTAAAAAAGTAATTGACTTTGTTGTTACCCCTGACACTGATTGAGTTCACTCAACAAAAACACTGAAAGACTAAGTGGGATTTGAAGGAATTCTTTTCCTCACCATATTTCTAAACCTAAGATCATCTTAAATTAAAAAATGAGAGTTGTAGCCACTTTGGTCCAACCTTGAAAATGATGCGTTGAAGTATTGAGAGATGACTCTCAGCTACAACCACATCAGCTTCTAGCTCAATATCTGCCAATCTGACAGAGTTATAACCATTTCTGTGTTGGCCAATGTTGACAGAATGTGACGGCCATCTTGAATTGGGGTGACTCCAAATGTTAAACATTTGTAGATGTTCATCCATTGAATATTTTCTGCAAGTTTCACAAAAGATTTTTTTCCTGTGGTTTTTGAGATATGTCAGCAGGGGAGACACACACAAACCAAAAAAAAATACACTCCTGCTCAAAATCTTAAGACCAGTCAAAAAAAGTGCAAGAATTTGCATTTTACACTGTTGGATCTTAAGAAGGTTCTAAGTAGAGCTTCACAATGTTAAAAGAAGAAATCAGTGCAAGAGACAAGAACTTTTGAGCAGGGAATTTTCTGAAAACTGCATTTACACTCAAACATGATTTTTTTCAGCTGATCAAAAGTTTAAGACCATAGCTAAAAAAAAAACTGGAAACCCCCAAAACAGAAATCAAAGTATCAAAAAAAGGACTCAGTAATGAGTAGCTCCACCATTCTTGTTGATGACTTCAAACAATSGTTTAGGCATGCTTGATGCCAGTGTTTCCAGGAGGCTAGGGGGAACGTTGCTCCAAGTGTTGAAGATGGCTTCACGAAGGGCATCCACTGTCTGGAACTGATGTCCATTTTTATAAACTTCCCTTGCCATCCATCCCCAAATGTTCTCAGTTGGGTTTAGATCCGGGGAACATGCAGGATGGTCCAAAAGAGTGATGTTATTCTGTTGGAAGAACTCCTTTGTCAGGCGGGCATTGTGAACTGCAGCATTGTCCTGTTGAAAAACCCAATCATTACCACACAAACGAGGGCCCTCAGTCATGAGGGATGCCCGCTGCAACATCTCCAAATAGCCAGCTGCTGTTTTACGCCCCTGCACAACTGAAGCTCCATTGTTTCATTGAAGGAAAACACACCCCAAATCATGATGGCGCCCCCACCAMTGTGCCGTGTAGAAAACATCTCAGGTGGGATCTCCTTGTCATGCCAGTAACGTTGGAAGCCATCAGGACCATCAAGGTTAAATTTTTTCTCATCAGAGAAGACAACTTTCTTCCACCTTTCAGTGTCCCATGTTCGGTGCACCCTTGCAAAGTCCAAACGGGCAATTTTGTGGCGTTGAAGAAGACGTGGCCTTTGAAGACGTTTTTTGTTTCTGAAGCCCTTCTCTCACAGATGGTCTGATGGTTATTGGGCTGCAGTCAGCACCAGTAATGGCCTTAATTTGAGTAGAGGATCGTCCCGTGTCTTGACGGACAGCCAATCGGATCCTGCGGCTCAGAGCTGGTGACATTTTTTTGGGTCTACACTTGACTTTTTTGTTCCATAACCCTCAGGATCATTTAAAAAATGCAAAATGACTGTCTTACTGCGTCCAACTTCAGCAGCGATGGCACGTTGTGAGAGGCCTTGCTTATGCAGCTCAACAATCCTACCACGTTCAAAGTCAGTGAGCTTTTTTGCTTTTGTCATCAGGAGGTCTTGACAGTGTAAAGACTTGACAGAAAATGACATGGAATCCAGAGTTTTGCACAGCTTTTGGCTTTTAAAGACTATGGTCTTAAACTTTTGATCAGCTGAAAAAAATCATGTTTGAGTGTAAATACAGTTTTCAGAAAATTCCCTGCTCAAAAGTTCTTGTCTCTTGCACTGATTTCTTCTTTTAACATTGTGAAGCTCTACTTAGAACCTTCTTAAGATCCAATAGTGCAAAATGCAAATTCTTGCACTTTTTTGACTGGTCTTAAGATTTTGATCAGGAGTATACATCATCGCCCATCTGCTTTGGCTTTCACCATGTAAGCAGGCTGTGGGGGGTTAAAGTCTTAATTTTTGGCACTAACTGAGCATAATAAACTACATATTCAGCATACATGTAATTTTTGATCAACTAAAAACATAGAAAGGGAAGTTATGTTATTGTGGAAAACTGTCAAACTTTAGGCAATACAAAGAATAAAATACAGGTAGGTCGACGTGCCTGCTGCATTCTGGGTGGCATCTGATTAGAAAAACAATTAAGCACCACTTCAAACAGCATATTCTTCAAAACACTGCTAGTTGTACATTTCTTCCGATTTTAGCAAATAGTTTATTCAAGCATCGGGCCTAAAGGCCGCTGGCTGCCTCTTAAAATCACATCCACCTGTCAGGGTGGCGGCTAACAGCAGATAGCGCCATAAAGCAAGGGTGTCTCCTCCAAAAGAACGAGAAAAAAAACACAAATATAACAAAGCCATGCCGTTAAGCCGGTCTTTTGCGCACATTTGATATCTCTGAATAAATTGCGTGGACCGCGCAAAGTATTTTAAATGAAGATTTGCTAGCATATTCTATAAATAACTGTCGTAACCTCCGTAAAGAGATAGTCTAATACACCAAAGCAACTGTATTTTACGTATCAAACTAAAATAAAAACAGTTAAATCCTATATTTTTATGTTAGCATAGCAGATGTTAGCCAGCGTTCTCATGGTTGTCCTGACGTTAATTTATTTGATTATTTCTGTGCAATTTTCTTAGCTTTCACGCGTTTTACGTCGACTAAAACCACAGCAGCAATCTTTTTCTAAGGTTCAAGTTTATAAAAAATCATTTAGTGTAGGAGTACATCTACTTACCTGAGCGGCCTTGAAGCTCAGCTCTTCGGGGACAGACGTAGCGACGTCAACCTCCAGATTTAAGCTTCCGTCAGACTCCACGACTGATTGGACTCAATGTCACACGCGTCTGTTTGGCGTGTTTACTGTCGTTCAATGGAAAAAAATCAAGTCCGTTTTTGGTCGAATTAAGCGCAAAATGGTAATTCGTTGTCAAGTTAGGTCTCTGTTGAGCTATCGGTTAGAAAGCCATCGTGACAAAAAACGTTTTTGCCACTCTCAACAACAGCAGCTCGTGGTAGCAGGTGCTGCGTTCAGGGACCGGTTTCCATTAACGGACAGGTGAACTTCGGGTGGGGCTCAGAAAACGTGTTGTTGTTGGGCTTGTCTCGAATCCAACCCGTCTGTGAGATTCTGTTTGAGATATATTTTGAGGACAAATCATAACTTGACTCCAGAATTCAGTGGTTCTTGAGATAGTTTGCAAACAGACAGATGTTTGTTGATTTCCGTAAATAATGGCAAAGTTTGAAATAAAAATGTTGGGCCAAATCTGGCCTACTGGTGACTTCAGTCCAACCCACCTGTGTGTGTGTGTGTGTGTGTGTGTGTGTGTGTGTGTGTGTGTGTGTGTGTGTGTGTG